TTTTCAGCTAATGATGTCACTGGTGGCCGATTCAACCCAATATTGTGCAGCCAAAACCAATGTTGGGTGGAGTTGACCTATTTTGGTTTTTTTTATTGATTGATTTTTAATTTGTTGTTTTGTTTTGTTGTCGCTCTGTTGCCGTAGCCCTCTGTCCTCCCCTGGCGCTAGTCCTAAGTTCAGCAGAAACACTCTTCCCCGGAAGCAGGACAGGTAAACATGCGTCTGTCATGGCTGTGCACAACGCCCGTCCTATGTCCGCACGGCGGGGCCGCGCTTTGTTGTCTGTCCGCAGAAACAAGCCGCTGCACCATCACCGGCGCCCTGTCGCTTGCGGTTCCCATCACGGTGTTTTTTGTTGTCCGGTGCTGCAATGACGCACCGCGAGCTTCTCGCTGGCCGGCGGCTTCCTCTCTCTGGCATGCGGCTGCGGCCTGACAGCTTGTCATCACGTCTGTTGTCCGTCATCATTTTCACCTGATTGGATAAGCGGTTCTGACTCTGTGTATTTATAGACGGCTTGTAGAGGTTTGATGACATTGAGCAGCGAGGTTTAAAGAGGACTAGTCATGACGAGAACCCGAATATCCAGTCCCGGATCATTAGAACTCTGCAGGATTGGTTGTGAACATGTAGTTTGAGTGTACGGGGTCAGAGGTTAGCAGACATGTGACAGCCAATGCCCTGTCAGCTCTCCTCCCAGCTCCTGAGACTGCAAAACACACTGACCTCACACACGGTCTCCCAGCTCCTGAGACTGCATAACATAATGACCTCACAGTGTCTTCCAGCTCCAGGCTCTGCATAACAAACTGACCTCATGCACTGTCTCCCAGCTCCAGGCTCTACATAACAAACTGACCTTACTCACGGTCTTCCAGCTCCTGAGGCTGCATACCAAACTGACCTCATGCACGGTCTCCCAGCTCCTGAGACTGCATAACAAACTAACCTCATGCACTGTCTCCCAGCTGCAGGTTCTGCATAACAAACTGACCTCACAGTCTCTTCCACACTGTCTCCCAGCATAACACACTGTCTCCCAGCTCCTGAGGCTGCATAACCCACTGATCTCATACACTGCCTTCCAGCTCCAGACTCTGCATAACACACTGACCTCATACACTGCCTTCCAGCTCCAGACTCTGCATAACACACTGACCTCATACACGGCCTACCAGCTCCAGGCTCTGCATAACAAACCAACCTCGCACACTGTCTGCATAGTCCTGTAGTTGTTTGTTTGTATTTTATCTTCAGTTGTTATGCCCTCTCAGGAGCCGGAAGACTGCGTACATGGAGAGGGAGTTGACATGCCAGCTGACCACGCATACACATGGCAATGTTTCAGCCACTTTCAGCCAGCTTATGAGTAACAAGATGACTCCCTACCAACGATTCTGACCTTTCCTGGTTTCCGATTCGTTTGCAGTAGTTTGCCATTTTTGTGAATGAAGGCCGGTTGAAATTGCCATGTATATGCCCTCTGACCCCTACGTCTGACCCCTGACACTCCAGCAAAAATATGATCATTAAAAATATAACTTTCCCCGATCCCGTTATGCAAATGATGAAAAACAAACAACTTCATATCAAAGTAACACAAAGTCGGCTTTTCCTTATGTGCATGCTTGTTCTAATCATCATCTTTACTGATTGCCGTATTGATCAGATAGACCCGGGGGCCGGATTTAATCTCTCTGCTGCCCCAAGGCCAGGTTCCTCAATGCGCTCCTACACCTGCCAAACCCCCCCCCCCATGGAGAATGGCAGACCTGCCGGCTGCATACAAGTGATCTCGGCGACATCACCGGGATCACTTGTACAAAACAAGCGGCAGTACATTTAGCTCTGCTTGCCCAAAGCCGGGCTAAATGTAGAGAACAACTACCCACCCGGACCCAGAACTTCATGTCCCGGGCATCGGGAGATAGGAATTCCACACCCCTGCTGCCCCTCTACTCCCTGCTGCCCCGAGGCCAGGCCTTGGTTGGCCTTGTGGGAAATCCGGCCCTGGATAGACCCAATCATAGGATGGCACATGGCACCGCCATCATTGTGGGGGTTGTCCCTGAATATTCCATTACACATCCCTGGCTAGGATCAGGCTCTATAATATGGCTCATATTTTGGGGTGCAGATTTTTTGGGTGTTGTTTTTCGGTGCAGGACGCTTCCGGTAAAATTGGTGCTCCTCCGTGTGACACTTTCTGCCATGAATCTGTTCCTGGTGATCACGGTTGGCTATGGTTGGGGGTTAGTTTAGGGTTACTGGATCAGAGATTTAGAGGTAACTTCTTCAGCTAGTTGTGAATTTCCAGCAGTGATACATTTTTTGGGGTGTGACATTATTTGGCTCTGTAAAGGACGCACCCAAAACAAGCGTGCCAATGTTTTCACGTGCCCGGGAGGGAAGGGAGGTTGCGCGACGTGCCAGCTGTCATACCCTCATTATTCCATCAGGAAAGCTAAATATTATGAATCCCTTTAAATTTTATTCCAAAATTTGGTGCTAAAAATAGAAATATTTGTGATCGGAATCCCTTTAAGAAACGTTTCTTCTCCGGATCCTAGAGGAAGAAGCTTCTGCAGGTTTACCATCACGTCAGCCTGATTAATATATTCTCCTTCACCCTGCTGGCACGAGCCCGGGGGTTGGTCGGCAGCCAAGGCCGATTATTTGTTATAACTTTCAGTTGAGGGAAATCTAGGTCACATGAGGTGTGCGCACTTTCTAAATGATCCCTATAATTATAGCCTAACGTCGCTGGAAACACTGTCAGTTATAATAGAAGTTTACTGTTCAGCTCCCGGCCAACCACCCCTTATTGACACATGTAACACTGTAAGGCAGAGCAGGGAAATGTTCACCGTTGTGTTACATTTCCAGTTCCCTTATGCCTGTGCAGGCTCTTGAAGTGTTTATTGCACAAATATGTTTTGGGTCAACTTAAAGGGACCCTGTCACCACACCATTCAAAAATTTTACATGTGCATTTCATGTATTTTATATAAGCCTGTTATTTACCTGTAAAACCTCACTTGTCTAGACATCCCAAAGCCATCATGCTGCTGCTGGGTGCCGCCATCTTGGATGTGGTGTCAACAGAACCAGCAGATTTAGAGTGGTCACTCAAGTGACACGCTATAGCAGGGTTAGCCAAACTTCCAACCTCCATGCATTTGACTGCCAGAGTCTTGCAATGCCTAATGGGATTTGTTGTTTCACCACAGCTGGAGGGCCAAAGTTTGGCTACAGGTGGTTGCAGATGTAGACCTTAGGTGTAGATTTCGACTGTAGATGTAGTCCTTAGATGAAGAGGTAGATGGAGATCGTAGATTTAGACCCTAGCTGTAGATATAGACTGTAGATGTAGACCAAAGATGAAGAAGAAAATGTAGACCCTAGATGTAGAGGTAGATGGAGATTTATAGATGTAGACCCTAGATGTAGATATAGACTGTAGATGTAGATGTAGTCCTTAGATGTAGATCATAGATGTAGAAGTAAATGTAGACCATAGATGAAGAGGTAGATGGAGATTGTAGATGTAGACCCTAGATGTAGATGAAGAGGTAGATGGAGATCGTAAATGTAGACCCTAGATGTAGAGGTAGACGTAGACCCTGTGATGGAACGCCTGGTACCCTGACTGGGTACCTCCGTCAGAAATCAGCTTCCTCCACTTTGGAACCGGAAAATCATAATTACAGCCCAAACCTTCCCCTAAAGAGCAGACTAGTCTCTCAGGGTAAAAACCCAGAACTAACTTTATTGCAAACCAGCTCAGTATATATACAGTTCTGGAAGTCTAAAAACATAAGACAATCAAACATTAACATAATACAAACAGACATCCCCTCCCCGGTGTCTTAATGAAAGAATAGGGAGCGAGGAGACACATAGGATGGGATTATCTCCCGAGTGTCTATGATATGGTAATTCACTCAGCTACATCTAGTGACAAGTTAATCCCATTGATAACACAATCAGACAAAGGGACAAGTAGACTTCCACTTAACTTGCTAGTCTGTTAGTCAAGTCTAAGTCCAGGGTCTGGTCCAGGACAGGATACTGGGGTATAGGAAAACACAGTCTCCGCTTCCCATGTATCCCCCACATCATTGGGAAATAGGTCTCTGGGGTCCTCTTGATCACATGGAGTGTGAATAAAGGGTCCCACATAGCCCCAAAGCACCATGGCAAGCCCCTCTCCCAATCAATAGACCCCCCTCCACAGCCAAGGCCCATAGTCAGTGGGAAGGAGGCAGGCCTGCAGTCCCCTCCAAATAGGAGAGTAACAGAGTCTTCCATCACAGACCCTAGATGTAGAGATAAAAAGAGACCCTAGATGTAGAGGTAGATGAAGATTGTAGATGCAGACCCTAGATGTAGAGGTAGATAAAGATTGTAGATGTAGACCCTAGATGTAGAGGTAGATGTAGACCCTAGATGTAGATGTAGACCCTAGATGTAGATGTAGACCCTAGATGTAGATGTAGACCCTAGATGTAGATGTAGACCCTAGATGCAGAAGTAAATGTAAACCCTAGACGTAGACCCTAGATGTAGATGTAGACTGTAGATGTTTGCCATACTCTATAAGGAATTATGATCAGTAATAACGGCTTACAAAGTTGATGATTTCGCTGCTTCGCCTTACAATATGACATTTTCAGACAAATGCATTCACCATTATAAACTATCCCATTAACATCAGCACTGAGTGTCGTCTCCTCACAACCCTGGACTTGTGACTGTTCACATTGCACGTTTCACACGCTCCTGTGTTTTTTTTGCACGTTTGTGTTTCGAGCATCCCTCCTTCCCCCCGCTGTAACGTCTGGCTGGTCCCTACACATCTCCACTTCCTGTTTCCACTCTTTAAAAATGATCTCTCCTCTCTTAACTTTGCTGCAGTGACCCCCAGCTCGATAGAAACACATTGCCTAAGAAGGGATTCAGGTATTGGCACCGCTGTGACTTGTGGTTTTCAAGCCTCGTTGTTTGTGTTTTCAGTTTTGCATTCTTGTCCGTACAGCGAATATTTCAAGTGTTTTATTGTTGTGTTGCATGCGAAGGACCGGGACGGGGGGGGGGGACGGGGGGGGGGTTTGTATAATTGTCATTTTTAACCAGCATACTTTTTATGACTGTACCCGTGTTGCAAAAGGCAAAAACAGTAATAACTGAATAATATGCATTGATATTGTTGTTGATATTGTTGCGTAATGATGTGAAATTCCATCCAATGCATGGACTGAGAGCGGTGTCATTATTTTTATCATTTAGTTTGATGGTAAATTACTCGCCATCATGGAGAGTGGAATATACAATCCAATTCCCAGCTTGGATCTTCAATGTTATTGCATGTTGAAGTGTTTTTTTGCCATGTGGTTGTTTTTATGTCTAAATGTCATGTTTTCAAAACTGCACTGAAACTGAAGAAGTGAAACTCGATCAGAGGGAGACATGTTGGGTAGATGCAGCGCTGAGTTCCAGCATGAACTTTGTTGTGGTTATCCAATATTGTCTTGTTTTTGTGCCATAACTTCCTGTTCCTTTGACCCCCTGTCAGGAAGTGAGGTCCATCTCCCTAGTGGAGACAGAGGGACCAATCAGAAAATCTGGAGTTAGGCTGTGGCTGTGCCTAGGGTTAGCCTAACCCTAACCCCGGACTGACACTTAACGGCAGAATTAGGCAAACCCTGCCCCTCCAACTGGTGAAATCCCATCATGCGCCTGCCTCTGGAAGTAATGCATGTAGCTTGCAGAGTCTTGCAGCACCTAATGGGGTTTGTAGTAGAACCACAGCTAAAGGGCCAGAGTTTGCCTACCCATGCCTTAAAGCAGAACTCTGGGCAAATCAAATCTTAACCCTTGCGGTGGGGCTACCCCTGCACTACAAGGGTTAAGTGCTCATTTTTGTCTGGGGAGCTAAAAAAAAAAGTTATACTCACCCGTACCGCGATTCCGGCTGGCTCTTACACCGCTTCCTCCAACGATGGTCTGTCTCTCGGCGTCCTCACTTTCTATACACTGTATAAAATGTGATGACCCAAGGATTTTTAGACTGCTGCAGCAGAGGGGGAGCATGGCTTAAGGAAGTGGTCTAAGAGCAAGCCGGGATCACGGTTCGGGTGAGTATAACTTTGTGTGGGGGTAGCCCCACTGCAGGGGTTAAGATTTGATTTGCCCGGAGTTCCACTTTAGAGGGCTAGTCCACCCAAAACTTGATCTATCGTAGATGCTAGAGAACTTTTTATAGTTTAGTTCAGGGGTAAGCAAACTCTGGCCCTCACAGACAAATCGCATGAGGCAGGGCAAGACTCTGACAGCCACAGACCCGACTTTCAGAGACAGAGGCATCATGGGATTTGTAGTTTCACCACAGCTGGAGGGGCAAAGTTTAGCTACCCCTGGTTGAGTTGATTGGTGATCACAATGGCTACAGTTACAGGCAGGGACCCCTCCTTATAATTACTGGCCAGTGTGAAGTTTTTCAGACCGTTATGGTTTCTCCCAAAACATTGGTCTGTGCTGGGGGTGGTTCCTCACAAGTTTAATCAAACCCGAATCCCCAATTTGTACTACTGCCGGTACCTATTACAATCCCAAATGATGATGGGGTAACATTCCTAATATTTAGCATCAGCAGACAATTATAGAATTGGGTCCAGTTGTTTCTTTTTTGGTCTTCCGAAAGTATTGGCTCAATCTCATTAGTTACTCACATTGCCTCAGAGGAACCTCATTGTGCATGTTACCGGCAATACTAACCTTGCTTGCGGTCAGCAGTGTTTGACTTGTATGTACTGGAGGAGATTCTTATTTTTGGATGTTTTCGGGTCACCACAACACATTTCTATCCCTTCGTATGTCTGGACACATATATGTACTGTGCGTGCAGAGGCCACTCTTCATTATGTGGCTTTGTATGGTCTGGCCATGTTTATGGAGGTCGCCAAAAGATCTACTTAACTCCAGTTTTCCCTTTTTGGGTCATGACACTTTGTGTTCCTTCTCCATCTCCCCTCCATTGAACATGAAGGATTATTCCAGATTTAGGAGGACATAAAATATCATCAGAATTTAATGTTCTGCATTTCATACCAAAGAAAAGTGACAAATGAGACATCTAGACCTCTTTAATAAAGGTTGCCCACCATAGGCAAGGGCCCAAGCTGAGTCTCCTGATCCAGCTGTGTTTGTATGACTGAAGTAAGGAAAGTGCCGATGGGTTTGGTCGTATGGACTGGTATGGTTGTTGAACCTTATGGTTCTTACATTGTGTGGTCATCTATAAAGGTTTAGTCTTGGACAGTACAGCTATTCCGGGTGACATGTTAATTTTGAATTCCTGTTGGTTGGCGTTATCCACAATGATGGTTCATGCATGGTTGTTGAAGTAGTCTTGTCATTGTCTACAAACACCATTTGTCCCGGCTTCACCCAGGTATGCACCGTCCTCTCAGCTCCGAAGTCAGGATGACACCAAGGAATGGCTGCGTTCCCATTCAGCCGGAGGGCTGCAAGACACGGCCAGCAGCTCCCCATTCTCGCCCGGCTCCAGCATTATGTCTCCTTCTGGAACTAGATTTAATTTCTCCCAGCTTGGTAAGTGACCCTGACATCTCTATCCTAAGGTATCCAAGACAAAAGCTGACTGCTGCCCAACCCGTATAATGATCCTTACGTTTGCTGGTTCTAGAGGAAAGCTCTGAGATAATGCTGAGAATGGGAGGTGGCCGCTTTCTCCTCTCAATTACACGATTTTTCTAGCTCTAGTGTTCAAATTTATACCACGAGTGCCTAAAAATTAGACAATCACTCAGAGGCTTGATGGTGCCTCAACAAGAAAACACTTTCATATGTCTATGACCAGTTAGAGTAGTCGAGGAACAAGTTTGAGATTTTCATTCTTTGAGAGGTCAAGTGGTGGTTTTCAAACCTCAGTATGGAGAAGTCATTTTGGGAGTTGACATTTGTGGCCTCGGGTCTGTCAGTCGAGTATTTGGATGTCTCAAGTTTAGTATAATCATGAGTCGCGGGATGGGTGAGTGACGGTTTAGTTGACCAGCTGTCTAATGGTGGACTTGACATCTCTCTTCTCCATATAATGGAGTAAATATTGGGCAGTGTTCAGATAGCTGCTTTGATGTATCTCTAGGCCCGAATTCTAAGAGTACGATCCTGTGCAATAGTCAGAGTCCTATCTCAATCGATGATGAAAGGATATCATCTCATTCAATGGTCAAAGAGTCCTATCTCTATCATTGGTCAAAGAGTCCTATCTCTATCATTGGTCAAAGAGTCCTATCTCTATCATTGGTCAAAGAGTACGGTTTTGATCCATGGCCAAAAGATATTATCTCAATCGATGGTCAAAGAGTCCTATCATGATCAATGGGCACTCATTTTTTTCATTGACTGTTAAAGTCGTGTAAATATTAATGGAAACTTTATGTTACAAGGATTATTATGATGGTAGCTATAGCTAATTATACATTAACATAATTTAGATATAATTGTATTGCTATAAAATCAACAAATATGATGTTGGAACAAGGTCTTTGGGGTCTGGTATCTGTCGGGGACATATGTCATACTTACATTATACAATATTGTCACAGCCACTTAGTGTTGGTTTAATGTTTATTGATGTGCTTTCTACCTCCAGCAAGTCCAACAGCCTCCTCACAGATGAGTTTGTCTAATTCAGCAATGCTGCGAACTCACAGCCTGTCCAACGCCGATGGGTCATCTGACCACTACGGCGAGACCCGCTTCCGAAACAGCTCCATGTCATTGGATGACAAGACCCGAACCATGAGCCGCTCGGGATCTTTCCGTTTACTGATTCACAATGAGACTTGGCTCTTTGTTTTTAGCTTCTCTCTCCTTCCAACAGCTCAACTGCTAATTATCATCCTGTCAGGACAGAAGTCACCATCACATATACAACTTAACCTCCTGATTAGTATATATATATATATCTCTGTATCAGCCTCGGGTACAATGTAGAGTAGATGAGGATTGTTACAATACTTTGTATCTTCTTTTATATCTCAGAAGCTGTTCTGCTCTCTGCCATTAAAGTGCCACAACATTCACCTCCTTCGGCCAATAATTTCACCGCCAATGCCGCCAGGGCCCGCTCAGCGCTAGGAGGCAAATACCGCACAGCTCAGCGATCCCCGTCCGCAGGAGATTGTTTTCAGGGGAAAGATGATGTTTCCTCTTCAGGCAGAATTCTGTTCTATGACGGTCGTCTTCCTGTCAGTGTCTATGGTTACACCTGCGGGGAGCCTCGGCCATGAGAGGTGAACGGAACATAAAACAACATGTCTGTGTGATAAGCTTTTAGTAGAAGCTGACTTCCAGCCTGCAAAATCCCTGTGTGATAAACCTTTGGTGGAAGCTGACTAGCAGCCTGCCTATATTGAAGGTGCCCTGTTTCAAGTGTGCAGGCCAAGAGCACGGCAGCTTCTATCAAGGCTTCCCACACAGGAAGTTTGCTTTGTAACAGAAAGAAGAGCATGGCAGCTTCTATCAAGGCTTCCCACACAGGCAGTTTGCTTTGTAGCAGAAAGCTGATAAATAACCCCTTCAGCCCCGCTACATATTCATTAAAATAAAGTGTTTTAATGTTTCTGTAAAATCCTTAAATGAAAAATCCTTAAATGACAATGAGACTGTCACAGGTCGGCTCAGTAGATCGGGAGGTGAGCGAACACATACCGGCGCTCGCTCACTTCTCGATCATCTCCCTGCAGAGAGCCGTGACTGTCACTCACGGCTCCCTGCAGGCATTCCCCCTCTCCCTGCTCCGATCCTCCATCGCTGACTGGCGGAACGGACGGGGGAGGGGGCGGTATACTGAGCTTTGGGTCACAGGAGAACGCTAGTTTGTGTTCTACCGTGACCCTTAGGAGAACTATGGGGAAAAGCTCTGACCCCATAGTTCTCCTTTTAAAAGGGGGCTCCGCATAGAGTACATCACGGGTGAGCCAAACTCAAAGGGAAAGTCAATGAGAGGGCTCCACTGTGACAGCGACTCTGAACCTGCGCCTTGTACCTTCTTCTGTCCTGGCTTCCTCCTCTGCCTATGGCCTTTGCATCCTACATGACGTAGAACCATGCGTGTGCTATGTTGTCACTCCAGGCAAAACGAATGGCAAACGCACTCATCAACTCATAACCAGCTTTCCAGCAAGGTGCACATGGAAGGGCTTTATACAGTACAACAGCAAAAAGTTTCCCAGCACGTTTACCAGCCGGCATGCACAAAAAGAGAGTTCCTATCTAAGCCAGAATCCCAAGGCCAAATCTGGAGAGTTCCTATCTTTATATATCAGTCAGAGTCTTTGGGTCAAATCTGGAGAGTCCCCAAATATACATAGCATCTCAAATCCCTGGGCCGAATCCTGGAGAGTTCCTAACTGTACCGTGTTTCCCCGATAATAAGACCTAGTTGTGACCATTCCCAGGGCCGGTGGTGGCATAAGGGGGAACTTGAAGAGCCGCGGGAGAGAATCAGCGAAGTCGGCGCTAGAGGAGGGAGCAGAGCCGCATAAGCCGATGCCTCCTCTATAGCCCCGCCTCCTGTCAAAGGCGGAACGATACCAAATGCTTCGCCCATTCTGGCCAGCGATTGGTTACCAAATTGCTCTTGGAAAGGTTCGGCACCCCCGATTGCCCTGATCACCATATTTTGTTACATGAATACATGTAGACTGTTGTACATGAATAAGTGTGGATTGTTGTTCACTAAAAAAAAAAAATAAGACTGCCCCCGAAAATAAGACTTATTGGGTCTTTTTGAGCCGAAAATAATATAAGACGGTGTTCTTATTTTGGGGGAAACGCAGTTTATATATCAGTCGGAATCCCCGGGCCAAATTCCCAGCCGATTACACTGTCACATGAGTGTCGTCTCCCAGCCGTCCATTGTAGTGACATTGATGATCTGTACAGCCGAGTACATTTGGTGACGTTCTTCCCCCCTGCGGTGACACCTCACTTGTGTCGTGTTGCAGTTGTGACATTGTACGTCTGTCACGTCACCCCCTGGACACACAAAACACACGCAGGAACCTGCCGGTCTGGTTCCCCCCGGCCGTCCTCGTACAGTGTTTGTTGTGGCCCTTGGGAGTCTCGGCTTCAAAAACAAACAACTGCAAAGTGTCGTCTTATTTTCCAGCAAATATGACAATGACTCACCGGGGGAACCCAACTGAAAGGAAATGGGGGCCATGAAAGGCGGAGGGACCCTTTGCAGGTTCCTAGGACAGGGAATAAAAGGGAACAATGATAGGCTCTCCATGGACAATGTCACTCCAGTTTTTATAAGAGGGATTTTATACTAAGCAAGCGCAATGTGAGGCCCCTCCCTTTCAGATTTAAAGCCCTCAGGGGCAGGGCCCTCCTTACCATCTTGTCTTGAATTGTATTGTGACTGTAATGTCTTCCTTTCCTTATATTGTAAAGTGCAATGCCGACCTGTGACAGTCTCATTGTCACAGGGCAACTAGAACTATGAGGTGAGTGAAAAGCACCCGCCCCTCATAGTTCTCCTTTAAGAGGCGGGTTCAGATAATTAGCAAAGACAGACATTGTGATTGGGAGAAGTGTGATCGCTGAAGAATGACACAATGCTTGGCATGCAACACGTCACATAATAATAAATGTGATTCTAGATCCACTTTAACTACATAGCGGGATCTTGTAAAGGAAATTGTTACAATGATAGTGAATCTGATGGACATGTGTGACCTGATATGAGACGCCTGACACTCTCTGATCTGTAATCTCCTCTTTTATCCCGCAGTTCACGGCTCTTCCCTCTCTCTGGTATCCAGCACCTCGTCTGTCTACTCCACGGTAAGCAACGCGCTTGTGTCACCATATTTATAGCTGGCAGTGAGCCGAGACTGATTTATAAGGCTCCGTTCACACTTGATGTACACTTGTAGTGTGCGTGACCTCGCGTCAGCCCATTCATGTTTAAGGGCCGGTTCACGCCACAAAGTCCGCGTTCCATTGCACTCAGCCTCTGCGTTCAGGGGCGGGAGGGGGAGGGGCAGTGCATTGATCAGGGAGACGGCCGGCTTGAGTTCCAGTGCGTTCCATAGGCCGAACGCACTGGAACGTGGAGTTTGTGGTGTGGACCGGCCCTTAAGGAGAACAATGAGGTGAGTGATACACTCATCCTCATAGTTCGAGCCGACCTGTGACATTGAAACTGTCCCACGTCGGCTCCATAGATCGGGAAGTGAGCGAACACGTACCGTCGCTCGCTCACTTCCTGATCATCTCCCTGTAGAGAGCGGGGACTGTCAGTCAACGCTCTCCGCAGGGATTCCCCCCCCCCCGAGGGGGCGGGTACAGCTAGCTCAGCCTCTAGATAGGCAGAGCCAGCTGTCACTCGCACAGCTGGGTGGATCCAGACAGTATTGTCGTGGTCCGTCCCGGCTGTGGCGCTCTGAGTATATAGTCCACTATATACAGAGCTTGGGGTCACGGGAGGAGGTTAGTATATGGCCTCCCGTGACCCTGAGGAGAACAATGGGATAAAAAGGATTACCCTATAGTCCTCATTTAAGGATAATTAAACCCAGGACAAAAAACATTTTTGTACATCGCAAATTACCGGTCCTTAGATGTGGTGGCTGCATTCGTTTTCTTTTGTTCATTCCAAGAACGTTTTCTGCAAGTACAGAAATATACCCGTTGATCCTGCCAGAAATCCAGTGTGCTCAAATCTTCCTGTGCACTTAACTAAAATGTTAAACAACGGCATCAGCATTTCCAATTTTCTTCTGTTAACTATGCAAACAACAGAACAACCCCCCCCCCTCCCCCATGTTATAGTGATATGGAAAAGATGTGATGTTCTGTAGTCCTGTTTTAAGGTGACAACGCGACTACTTTAGATACAGTATGGTGAGTGAGCGTTGTCACCTTCGGGCAAAAAGAATTTTCTGCCATCACAAGCTGCGATATATAAACATTTTGTTCCGAGTATCCTTGTGAGCAGGACTGTAGAAGTGTGCAGGTCCCGATGGGAGCGGACAC